ACCCATTAATGAGTAATTGTTAATCATTAATGGGTAACAGATACTCATTAATGGGTAAAATTGTTTAATCATTAATGAGTTAAGCCACTTTTCTTCAAAATGGGTCTTTTTTTACTCATTAATGAGTACTTTCAAGTTAGCGTGTAAAGTAATGAATCAATAGACCAAAAATTGAGGTTATTTGGACATGATACATTATATTTACAAGGATACTATTAGAAGAATATTATCAAAATAGGCTATTTAGCAAATATATAATTCTTTGGGGTACAGCTACCCATGTTGATAGTCAATGTTGTTTCATATCTTAGATATAGTGGCGCCAGTGGTGTAGTGGTACGCGTGATTTCCTCTCACCCCAGCAGGCCTACACAATGTTTGTTTTGATTCGCTATGAAAGTTTGACAGATAAAATGAGGGGTTATTGGTTTTTCCTATGTTTCGAGGGGTGAATCGATTAGCTTGGGACCGAAGAGAGTACCAGAGCTGAGCCAAAAAGTTGAGCACGTTATTTCGGGACCTTCTAGTCTTAGAGTTACCTCTATGGTAGAACCCCGTGTTTGTGCAAACGTCCACTACCTGTGTTCCTACCCTACCAGCTGTGTGTTATATTGTATCCCTATTCACTATCAATAAATATAGTAATTCATCTGCCTCCGCCATGACAGGACGGTAAAAACCACTGTATTTTATTCATACATCCGTAAACACAACGTAGGAAAAGTTCTGCCCGTGCGCGATCACCCCGTTAGCTTGAATAGCTAAAATGACCACGCTCATTAAGAACACTAGTTTATATCATATTTGAACTTTGTACGCTGATCATCATTTCCCATGTAAAATCGTGCGTTGAATTCAAAAATGTAGTCCAAGAAATCTCAGTAGGATAGTTTTCGAGATATAGCTAAAAATAAGCCGCCGCCGGTGGTGTAGTGGTAAGCGTGACTGCTTTCTCACCCCAATGGGTCTGGGTTCAATCCCAGTCGAAGTCGGGAAAATATTAATTGTGTTTAGTGATCATACATTTTAAGAGTCATGATAGAGAGCTTGGGTTAAACCCATGATTTTATGCTTAGTAAGTAAAAATGATCCCTCCAGGGTCATCGAGCATCTCAGAACCATAACGTTTCGTGACTAAACGCGACTACGTTTTCGCTTGGTAAGTAACGAACAACGGAAATACGCAATAATGCAAATAGAATCAGGTTGAAGTTGATGGTTAATCAAATTACGATGACGATTTATTGTGCTGTGGAAGAGCTTGGGATTAAACCCATGATTTTCTGCTCAGTAAGCAAAAACGATCCCTCCAGGGCATCTCACAATCCACAGTCAAAGTACTGTTAAGTTCTCCTTTGGTATGTAACGAACGATTAAGATACGATAATTCATGTATTTTCTATGGTCGATGGATAATTTAAAATATAAAAATAGTACTGCCAACGACGATGATAATAGCGAATTTGGAGCTTACCTTTTGCCTATACAGTTCGAAAAAGTATTGTAAATTTCTGTTCAGTATGATGCACATATGTGGAGCGTCACATATCATATAAGTTTACATTATATACCATGTATAGTTCTGAGACATTTCATGCAATGTAGCAAATATTGTATACAAAAGCCCATTGTTGTAAACAACATTGATTACAAGCTGCTCGGTTGCGTGAAATGAAATACAAGTTTACGTGAAGGAATGTTTAAATCACTATTAAAATCCAGAATTTTTATCTGTGTAGGATACAAACACCTTGGCACCTCCACTGGATCTTCATATACATCTAGTTCCAATTCTTGTTCTTTGTTTTGCGCCGTAAAATCAGTTATTAATCTTTCTGTTGGTTTCTGTCCTTCCTGGGTGGACGCTCGGGTTCCTCTAACGCCGTGCTATGGTTATCGTGCCAGTGTTCGTGCCGTACCCCCTTACTTTGCTATTGTCGGATTGACATCATTGCCCAGGCTACGCCATCCAGCTGTTTCCATGTATCAGCTGGTAGTCGTTTGTAATCATATGATTCGTGTAGGCATGAGGTAGGGACTTGTGAGGACCGGAGTTAGGTACCACGCTCCTTCCAGGTTGTCGACTCGCCATTTTGTAGACCCTATCACCATCAAATTGCATGTCGCATCGCCAAAACAAAAATAACCACATATTTTTGGTAGAATTTATCATAATTTAGGAATACCAACGTATTGCATACGTTCAGGACTCCTGAAATAGCTTGAATTATATTTAACCAACCGCCAACAAATAATTCAATTCAATGGAAAGAAATCGACCCCTATTCAAGTCACCTCAGGAGTCCCCCAAGGCTCTCATTTGGGACCTCTTCTTTTTATTCTGTATGTAAACGACATTTTTTTCATTCTCAAAAAAATTAAATTGCTAATCTATGCCGACGACATAAAGCTCTTTTTGGAAATAACAAATGATGAAGACATCAATATATTCCAGAATGAAATACACATATTCTACACATGGTGTAAAAAAATCCTATTAGAACTGAATGTAAAATAATGCAACTTAATATCATTTAGCAGAAAAAGAACACCATCAAACATTTCTATTGCATTAGGAAATCAGAATGTAGAAAAATGAGAAAGTGTTAGGGATTTAGGGATTATCTTAGACTCCAAACTAACTTTCATAGACCATTACAATACAATAACTCACAGGGCAAATAACATGCTAGGCTTTATCAAACGCTTTTGCTATAACTTTCAGGACCCATACACAACTAAAACACTATATATTGCCTATGTAAGGTCAATACTGGAATATTGCAGCAATGTATGGTCTCCATTTTCAATGACGCACGAAGAAAGATTAGAATGTAATTTCAAAAGTAATTTCTATTATATGTCCTTAGTAAATTAGGTTGGACATTATTTCCTATTCCAGCATATGAAGCGCGCTGCATGCTTATAAACATACAAACATTAAAAGAGCGACTTGAATATGCAACGGTTTCGTTTGTCGTTTATCGTTTCGCAGCGCATGAATTCAGCAGAACTTTTATCAAAATTAAATTTTTATGCACCTACTCGACAACTCAGAAATCTTAATTTATTTGCCATAACCCATCATCGCACAAATTATGCAAAATTTGGGCCATTAATTTTTTTTTTTATCTAGTTCGTTTATTTGGAAGGCTCAATCGCGTTAGCTTTACGGAGCCGATAATTCATTGTTCACTGTGTGTAACAAAATTCACTTAATTCTATGTCTAGTAGGAGTTGGGCCGATTACTCGCGGCTTACTCGAGGTTAGAAGGGTACATTTTCGAAGGATAGGATCAGGGGAGGAGCTTGGGGTAGGGTTTCGTTGTCTCATCAGAGCGTTGTCGCCAGTATGAACGGTAGTGCTGTTCTAGCTTCGTCCGGAGTTCGACCGGCTATGGTGGGTGACCAGTGGGCGACGATGAGACTCATCGAGACGGGGGGACAAGACAAACAAAAACTAATAAAGAGAGACAAAAGACAAAAGGAATTAAATTCTTATACTAGACATTTGAAGAAAAACATAAACGGACTGCATATAGCAGAGATCACGGGTTGCCAACACGTCTCTGATAGGAACATAGGGTTGTCTTCCTTGGGCCTCGAGGGTATTCAAAAGTCGCTCTCTGGCGGCGTCATTATCCGTACATTGCCAAACTGCGTGTTCGATGTCATCGTAACCGTTTCCACACCGACAGATGTTGCTGTCCACGAGGTTTATTCTATTGAGATGAGCATCTAGCGAGTAGTGGTTGGACATAAGTCTACTCATCACGCGAATGAAGTCACGACTTAAGCCCAAGCTTTTAAACCACGCTCTCGAAGAAACATTAGAAATAATTGAATGTAACCACCGTCCAAGATTTCCAGTGTCCCAATCGGTTTGCCAACTCGAAAAGGTACTCTGACGCACTAAATGGTAAAATTCATCGTGTGAAATTTGCCTGTCATACAATTCGCCTTCCTGCGCGCCCACCTTTGCGAGAGAGTCCGCCTTCTCATTGCCTGGGATTGAGCAATGTGAGGGGACCCATACAAAGGTAATCATATATGATCTTTCGACCAGCACACACATCTGCTCCCTTACCTTTGAAAGGAAATAAGATGAGTGCCTACCTTGTTTCATCGACCGAATAGCCTCAATCGAACTGAGACTATCCGTGAAGATGAAATAATGGTCTGCGGGCATGTTGGAAATCATCCCCAATGCGAAGTTGATTGCTGCCAGCTCAGCAACAAAAACGGAACAAGGTTCCTGAAGTTTGCGGAAGGCGCTAGAGTTTTCATTGAAGACACCGAAGCCAGTGGATCCATTGAGACGGGACCCGTCTGTAAAATATCTTTTCATGCAATTGACTTGTTGGTACTTTTCAGTAAAAATACGCGGAATAATAATAGGTCGAAGTTGATCGGGAATCCCATGAGTGGGCCATTAAATCGCATGATGGCGTTTTACAATCAATAGCGCAAAACCATTGACTTTTCAATGTCTCGGCATAAACTAAAGCAATATTTTAACTCCATACGGAATCATAACCCATAAGAAGTAAAAATAGAATACCACACAATATTTTTTTTTTAATTCTAAAGAAAAACAAATTTGTATATGTTTATACTAGTCTACTCGGTTGTTAAAAAAATCCAATTGAATGCCCAAAAGAACTCTTTGGTAGAATCAATTCATCTCTAGCCATATGATTTTCCCCCTTTTTGTTTTTCACTGAACATGTGCCTCTATAAATTCAGTAGCGGCCCACAAGTTCCGTTCTCTTGTAAGAATATATTAACTATAGGTAATCAGTATAAAATTGAGCAGAGTAGGATGAGATCCAATTCCTCGAAGCATCCGCACCCGTACCATCATTACCAGCAGTTTCTGCAGTCCCACGATGAAATGGCACATTTCTCCACGGTTCAGCACATCCAATTTATTTCTCATCAATCATATCGAACAGCGCAAATCGTTCGTAAGAATATAATCAGTAAAACGTTTGGCTTACCTGAATCTTGATTTTCCTTCTTTATTTTTTCTGCTATTCGATACCAGACCCAAATGTCGAGAGCTGCAAAATTAAGCAACTTATCCCATTATTTTACGTTCGTCCAAAATGCCTCAGGCAGTCACTCGAGACAAACCGTATTGTGGGGGAGTGGAGGCAAAAAAGTCTCTCACCTAGTGCACCTGTTATGATGACACCCACCAGGGCCAGCATCGTGAGACCTTTTCGCTTCTCCGTGTCCTGTTTTCTTGCGGCGACGAACATCGAAAGCATATCGTCCGCCTAGAAATGGTAGAAATAAAATTTGGTATAATGGCAAAACCCTACGAATAGCCCTATAAGCAACCAAAAATTCAACTTGGAGCTCCAAATAGAATGGAATAACTTTTCTATTCGGGGACGGAAAAATCAACAGAGCATGAAACATTTATTTAATTTACCAAGCGTAAAGTATATTAATTTCCGGTGTACTACATTTTGGCTACCGGAAAATAATTACTCAACCAATTAATTTTCACATAGCAAGGCTGGAAATTGCATCAACGAAGTATATTCCTTTCAGCTTCTAGTTTTCTCGGTTAGGATCGTTACAGCATGCACAGGAAAAATAATTAATTACCTACCTCATTTAAACGTTGATTTAGTTCTCTTACGAATGGAAGCCCGAACACACCGCAAAAAACGCCACAAATACAAGCAGAAACGACAACGGAAACATCCACTGTAGTCACCACTTTCGATGTTGCTGTCTTCATTCTGAAAACGAAACTTTCCAGAAGAATGATTAGGATTAAATCCATGGGAAAGTATATTTATCGTCAGTTTCCCTACATCATAAAAAAAGGATTGCTGTGAAAAAATGGAGGCGTTTTGTCATTAACTATTTGAATACGCATTCCTAGCATGAAGAAGCTACTCTGTTTGTTTGCCTGAATTAGTTTAGGAGTTGGAGTCAGACATGTTTTACAGCATATAAGCAGTCGGTGCCGGAGTCAAAAAATAATACCGACTCCGACTTCAACTTAAATGAAAAATAATTTTAAACTATATCGTCTCAAATATTGGTCCATTAGAAATTCGTTTGACTCATGAACAATTTTATTGAATCATGAAAACTAACATGAACCGTCTAAACTCAGATTAACTGGGTTGGTTGGAAATGCTAACATGAAGCTTTAGTGTGATGATTTATTAGCTAGAGAATGATCTTTAGAAGAGGGTAGGTGGATAGTTCCGTTAGAGTACGGCAGTATGAAAATTGAATAGAAGTTGAAAATGAGCGAAGGGCCATTAAAGCGACAGTTTACAAGATAGACGCACATTTTTGCCTGTGGACTTGGAGACATACTTCAAGTCACCGCGTACATCGTACGGGCTAGGCAAAAATGTGCGTCTACCTTGTAAACTGTCGCTTTAATGGCCCTTCGCTCATTTTCAACTTCTATTCAATTTTCATACTGCCGTACTCTAACGGAACTATCCACCTACCCTCTTCTAAAGATCATTCTCTAGCTAATAAATCATCACACTAAAGCTTCATGTTAGCATTTCCAACCAACTCTGAAAATCGTTAACTTCGCGTATGAAGTAACATAAAAAACACTTTGAATGTAACAACTCAAGGCGGGAGTAGCCGTCAACAATGCTGATGATGGTACAGCACGCAACAACCACCCTACTGCTTTCTCTCTGAGATGATCACGTTGGTCATGACGAGAGGAGCAACACAATAGTTGGGTAAAGAAGAACTGCATTATAACACACCATCGACTGGAAATGCTCTCCCAACGTGGGGCTTTAGGTAGTGATGAAAACGTCGCTAGAACTATTCCACAGCCGCAGTCAGTTTATGAGCAACAAGAGGGACGCACATTTTTGCCTGTGGACTTGGAGACATACTTCAAGTCCCCGCGTACATCGTACGGGCTAGGCAAAAATGTGCGTCTATCTTGTAAACTGTCGCTTTAATGGCCCTTCGCTCATTTTCAACTTCTATTCAATTTTCATACTGCCGTACTCTAACGGAACTATCCACCTACCCTCTTCTAAAGATCATTCTCTAGCTAATAAATCATCACACTAAAGCTTCATGTTAGCATTTCCAACCAACTCTGAAAATCGTTAACTTCGCGTATGAAGTAACATAAAAAACACTTTGAATGTCAGATTAACTGTTGATTTCGATCTAACATTTACCTCCTAATATTACAGATCAAAACTTGATGCTTTCAAAGTTTTTATTTTTTCTTTTGTTTCGGTTAAGCAAATCGCTAACCAATTTTTCAAACATAATCATGATTTTTTTTATTATTCCTTTGTATTCAGTTTCACTGAAAAGGCTAAATTTCCGTTAGAATTTGCGCGAAGTTTTCGCTAATATTGTGACGTTTTCATTTGAAGTAAGAGAAATCTTTATGCACTTTTTTAGTTTTTACGTGAAAAACACCTTCCTTTACGATTTTTGCTAGTTTTCATGTGTCCATGGTTAGCGGCACCGGTGGTGTAGCGGTAACCGTGATTACCTCTCACCCCAGCAGGCCTGGCTTCAATCCCAGTCGGCACCACCGGGATGTTCTGAGGCATAACATCTCTGATCACCACACCTGGACCCTACTCATCAACTCATTGAACCGAAAACCAACGGCTTTACTTCCCTTCCGAAGGAAGGCGTGATCAGAGATGTTGTGCCTCAGAACATCCCAGCGGCGCCGACTGGGATTGAACCCAGGCCTGCTGGGGTGAGAGGTAATCACGCTTACCACTTGTCATTTTGTCGTTTGGAGATATTTTTGAGTCCTTGTCCATAACACAAAATTTTATTTTAGTATGCTATTCTGCCTAGAACTGCTCAATCAGGGATTAATGAGAGTCATATGCAAACTAAATGAAACCAGATTCACTCGAATCGGTCAAGCCACAGGCAAACAGGCGTAATTTTTTCTCCTCAGTCGTCGTACACCCATTTAACGATAAATTTAAATGTTATTAGCTTTGCGAATCTCCCACCGCCCGTATCGGATCACTTTACAGTTTCTACTAATTTTATTGTGTGCAGCATTGTTTGAGACTTGCTCTTTTCTCCTCGAAAAGCTCGCGAGATGTCGTTGACGGTATTTTAAAGGAAAACATATTTAAATATTTTCGTCGTTTTGTCTGTGACCATCTCCGAAAAAAGTGAGTAAGTACCACTGTTTTATTTGAAAAATATTGGAGCGCGGCATATCGTAGGTGAAAATATCTTCGGAATATTTGCGTTCTTGAAATGGGCTAAATGGATCTACGGTAGGGCTATCACCTTCTAATCAGCCGTATGAAACTCAGATCTTCCTCATCGCTTAGTTCATAAATTGTGCACAACCCACACGGGACCTTTAGTAGCATGTACGTTGTTTACGAGTGAGCCCTAAAACCCGGTTTCAAGCTTGATGCAGTCATAAAAAAAAATGTTACAGGTAGATTCATAATGCCAGTACCAGATAGTGGGAGTTGCATTCTACATACATACATATTTCCAGTCACTATTTCGAAAATATGTGTTAATTTAATTTGAATCTTCTCTCATACCCCAACTTACCGTATTGGTTTTTTAGAGTTTATATCAAAAAATATTCCTTTATACGTTAATCCAGCTGTCGATGAAATGTAAAAAACCACATCAATATCAGTTTTATTATGTACTTCCAGATAACACACACAACAGGCAAGTATCTACCTAAACAAAACACGATGCATAAGCCGTAAATCACGAGCACCATATTCCGCTTGTAATCCACAATTTGTCCTTTGGTTGTTCTTTTTATCACATACGGCGCGAGACCGAATACTCGACTAACAAAAAATACCACTCTTGTCGACTCGGATATCTCCATTGTGTTTTCCTTCAGCTGCACGATAGTCGATGATGGCATGCAAAGGAAGTAACCAGCATTAAAGAAGATTGTAAAAAAAAATCTTATTGCCACATCATTGGGAGATTATTATAATAGATTATTCCACACTAATGCGACTCTGCATGGGGTCTCTGTTAAGCATCCCATTTTATACAACATGAATCTAATTTCCAGCACACGTTCTAAGGATTCACGAAAACCGCACCGTCATCAGCACCCCATTCACCGGAAAAATCACTCTAGATGGTTTTCCCAGCTCTAAGCAAACCACTTTTGTAATCCCATTAGTATCTGATTGAGGATATGAAACATGATAGTACCGTTTATCTATCTAACAATGGAAACTGACTTGCTGCTAGTTTTGTAAGCGATGTGCAGGCGATTAGAACAGGTATTTCCAAACGAATGGTTTAACAAAAATGGATTTCGGGCTCTCGGGATTGCCGGTTTATATATGAACAGCTCCGATCTGTAACGAACATGTGGTATTGTTAATTTTCCACTTTCCACTTCAAGTGTGTTTACTCTTTTGTCATAAACAGTCTTTCACTTTGTGCATGCTCGACAGCAATCTAAGCTTACCTATTTCAAATGGTTTCAAAAGCTTTCACGTTATATACTACGAAGATAAGGTGTTAAAATGAATTATTTGTATTACATATGGTGAAAATAGAACTCTTTTTACTGCACCACATTCGTAAGTATTCAATGATGGCTTGCACTAGATGATTTATCTATTTAAGATAATTTAGTACCTAACACACCCTGAACAGATTTGAAAACAAACCTTAACTGGTTACTCCAGTTAATTCTCCAATTCATAATTGCTTCACCTTCACTGAATTTCTAGCGATCAATGTTCGAAAAACTACCTCATTCTGATATATGAAGCATATTTTTATACAATGCAATAAATATAATTAGCATTCACGGTACACTGTTCGAAAAATTCATGTAAATTTCTGCGAGATATAGCGCTAGATTTGGCATAAATTTACGCGATATTTCGTGTAAATTTAAGCAAGCTTAAAAACGATTTCGCTGCACACTTCGAAAATCCTAATTTTACACCTGACGGAATCCATCTTTGACATAAAGGATGACAATTAAACAAACATGTCATGTAAAATTAAGTGCTCCGAGAATGAAAAGTTTGTTACTCGACGAAACGTACGTTTAATTGAGCTAAATTTCGCGTCTATCATGACTTAATTTTATGTCAAAATTGACGCTCGTATATGTCAGTCTCAGAGCACCTAAATTTACATGAACTTTTCTAAGTGTGTGTGTTTATGCCAAGTATAGTTCAAAATTAAACGAAGGGAGATTTTACACGATTGTTAAAATTCAGATTTTTTCAGATCAACATTGAACAGTGGAGGGTGGCTCGCAACATGCGTAACCGCTCATCTTTCAATGAGAGTGAAGAATACTCCAACCGATGGATATTCGATTTCGCTAAAAAGGTCTGTCCGGACTCAGTTCCAGCACAAAATATTCTTCGAGAAGCGTCTCCTAGCGGCGGCTCTCTGGATAGACCATTCTCAATGCTGTATTTCTCTATGGCTCTTCTTTCATCGAACAACTCCTCACCGGGAAGCGATATGATTAAATTCAATCTTCTGAAAAATCTCCCAGATATCGCTAAAAGACGCTTGCTAGATTTATTCAATTCCTTGCTAGAAAACAACATTGTACCGCCTGAATGGAGACAGGTCAAAGTAATAGCCATTAAAAAACCTGGCAAATCAGCGTCTGACCATAACTCATACGGTCCGACTGCTATGCTTTCGTGCATTAGGAAATTGTTGGAGAAAATGATCCTTCGGAGACTCGATCACTGGGTCGAATCAAATAACTTGCTATCAAATACACAGTTTGGGTTCCGCAAGAGCAAAGGAACAAACGATTGTCTAGCGCTGCTTTCCACAGATATTCAACTGGCCTTTGCGCACAAGGAGCAATTGGCTTCAGTATTCTTGGACATTAAGGGGGCTTTTGATTCAGTTTCCATTGAAATTCTGTCAGACAATCTGCACAGATGTGGACTTTCTGGAATTTTAAATAATTTCTTGTGCAATTTGTTGTCAGAAAAGCAAATGAACTTTTCCCTTGGACAACTGACAACTTCCAGAATTAGCTACATGGGCCTGCCCCAAGGCTCATGTCTCAGCCCTCTTCTTTATAACTTTTACGTCAAAGATATCGACAACTGTTTGGCAGAACAATGCACGCTAAGACAACTTGCAGATGACGGTGTGGTTTCCGTAAGAGGTCCACATGCCGTGGACTTGCAAGGACCATTGCAAAATTCCTTAGATAACTTGTCTTCTTGGGCTAGGAATCTAGGGATCGAATTCTCGCCGCAGAAAACTGAACTGGTAGTGTTTACTCGAAAGCGGTACCCAGCCCAAATGCAGCTTAATCTTTTGGGCAGAAACATTACCCAATCATTGTCTTTCAAGTACCTTGGGGTCTGGTTTGATTCAAAGTGCACTTGGAATGCCCATATTACGTATTTGAAGCAAAAATGTCAGCAGAGGATCAACTTTCTGCGTTCAATTTGCAGCACATGGTGGGGTGCTCATCCGGGAGACCTCATAACGCTTTATAAAACAACTATTCTCTCTGTTCTAGAGTACGGCTCTTTCTGCTTTCTCTCGGCAAGAAAAAGTCACCTAATAAAATTGGAACGAATTCAATATCGTTGTCTGCGTATTGCTCTAGGCTGTATGCACTCAACGCATAACATGAGTCTCGAGGTTTTGGCAGGAGTAACACCCCTCCAGAACCGTTTCTGGGAGCTCTCTCTCAGAATACTAATCAAATGCGGAGTGACGAACACACTTATAATTGCTAATTTTGAAGAAATTCTTGGGCTGAACACACAATCTCGATTTATGAGAATCTACCACCACTACATATCATCAGATATGTGTCTCCCTTGTTATACTCCAGACCGTGTTCACTTCACCAATCGCAGTTCCTCAATTGAATATGATCTGACCATGAAACAAGCAACTCATGGGATTCCCGATCAACTTCGACCTATTATTATTCCGCGTATTTTTACTGAAAAGTACCAACAAGTCAATTGCATGAAAAGATATTTTACAGACGGGTCCCGTCTCAATGGATCCACTGGCTTCGGTGTCTTCAATGAAAACTCTAGCGCCTTCCGCAAACTTCAGGAACCTTGTTCCGTTTTTGTTGCTGAGCTGGCAGCAATCAACTTCGCATTGGGGATGATTTCCAACATGCCCGCAGACCATTACTTCATCTTCACGGATAGTCTCAGTTCGATTGAGGCTATTCGGTCGATGAAACAAGGTAGGCACTCATCTTATTTCCTTTCAAAGGTAAAGGAGCAGATGTGTGTGCTGGTCGAAAGATCATATATGATTACCTTTGTATGGGTCCCCTCACATTGCTCAATCCCAGGCAATGAGAAGGCGGACTCTCTCGCAAAGGTGGGCGCGCAGGAAGGCGAATTGTATGACAGGCAAATTTCACACGATGAATTTTACCATTTAGTGCGTCAGAGTACCTTTTCGAGTTGGCAAACCGATTGGGACACTGGAAATCTTGGACGGTGGTTACATTCAATTATTCCTAATGTTTCTTCGAGAGCGTGGTTTAAAAGCTTGGGCTTAAGTCGTGACTTCATTCGCGTGATGAGTAGACTTATGTCCAACCACTACTCGCTAGATGCTCATCTCAATAGAATAAACCTCGTGGACAGCAACATCTGTCGGTGTGGAAACGGTTACGATGACATCGAACACGCAGTTTGGCAATGTACGGATAATGACGCCGCCAGAGAGCGACTTTTGAATACCCTCGAGGCCCAAGGAAGACAACCCTATGTTCCTATCAGAGACGTGTTGGCAACCCGTGATCTCTGCTATATGCAGTCCGTTTATGTTTTTCTTCAAATGTCTAGTATAAGAATTTAATTCCTTTTGTCTTTTGTCTCTCTTTATTAGTTTTTGTTTGTCTTGTCCCCCCGTCTCGATGAGTCTCATCGTCGCCCACTGGTCACCCACCATAGCCGGTCGAACTCCGGACGAAGCTAGAACAGCACTACCGTTCATACTGGCGACAACGCTCTGATGAGACAACGAAACCCTACCCCAAGCTCCTCCCCTGATCCTATCCTTCGAAAATGTACCCTTCTAACCTCGAGTAAGCCGCGAGTAATCGGCCCAACTCCTACTAGACATAGAATTAAGTGAATTTTGTTACACACAGTGAACAATGAATTATCGGCTCCGTAAAGCTAACGCGATTGAGCCTTCCAAATAAACGAACTAGATAAAAAAAAAACATTGAACAGTGACATATCCAGTAAGTGAAGCCCACTAACCCTAGCTAGGAATCAATAAATAATGTTGAACCGAATTTGTTAATTTAAACTGCATGTCCTTAGTAACCCTCGGAATCTGTGTAGTGTGAGGCAGGATTTGAGACACATTTGGAACAAATAGTTTTTTTTTTCTTTTCTCGTTAGTAGATCCCTGTAGGTAATGTGGGGAAAACCATCATAGGAAACCCCGCTTGCCGATGATTTTTGTCTTCTCCCTGTTGGTAATTCTATTCGTTTGGTGGGATCAGTGCAATTCTTGTCGCCATTTGTAGGATTTTTGATAAACCTGCCATGAGGTCTCTAACCGGAACGGGATTCAGTTTCTGAGAACGTGCCCCTTCACCTAGTGTTACCTGGCGCTTAAGTGAAGGCCGTGATTTTCCTCTCTCGCTAAAACAACTCCCGACCCGTTACATGTTCTTAAGAAGATTGATTTTGAAGCATTGACGTCTATATTGAAGCTAAATGTAGGCATCAATGTTTCATGGATGTTTACAATTATTTTGACTGATTTGTATTGTTTTTATTTAGCATTGAAACAAAGATAAAAAACGCTACGTAACTTGGGACCAAATTCATCACATAAAACGTAAATATGCAAATAAATTCTTTCATTAAAAAATTTCTAACTTATGGTATTCAATTCAGTAGGCTATGATGATGATCTTTAATTTAGGACCGCGAAAACAACATAACCGAATCGGGTTCTGCATTTTAGCAACTAAAACTAGAAATGCGTAGGTGCAGTACTCTGGGAGATTTTTTTCACCGTTGTAAACGCTATGGCTACGAGACTATGTTATACATAAAAAACACTGCAGTATTCGGAAATCATAAATTAGTCCATAAATTCAAACCTGGATGCAGTCTCGCCATCGCTGATGGCGAACAAACCGAGGGGCAGAATTAACTTCACTATAGTAAACTACAAAAATCAGTTACGCCTTTTTGTAGATGTTAATTTATAGTGACAAAACATGTTTTTTGAGAAATTTTATGAAATTGTTCATAGTATTGGATCTCTTACTGTCCATTTCTATGAAACCTCAGTTTGCTTACATTTGTCAGTTTCGCCCTTTTAAAATGTTCGTACTGAATTATTTTCGGTGTCTACTCGGCTAGAGTTTTAGATCGCGCAAATAAACGCTTCAACCGAGTTACGAAAAAGTTATGACTGTAAATTTCGGTGCCCTGAAGCCGACACATGCAAGCGGGAGACGAGAAAATGAATTCAATCAAATACACTTTTCAGTGTTCACTCGGCTGTCGATTGGCGTTGAAGGCGACTCTGTAGCTCTGTACACCTATGAGAAAATCCATAACCAAACGTCAAACTGAATTAAGTGTGTATGGTAAACCACACAGCTAACAAAAAGTAGTGTAAATTTCCGTTACTATGATGCACATAAATGGAGCGTCATATATGATACAAATTTAGATTATAGATCGTGTAAATTTATGAGACATGTCATGCAATATTCCATATATTGTATGCGACTGTCCACTTTTGTTTGCAACATTTCTTGCAAGCTGCTAGTTTACGTGAAAAGGAAGTTTACATGTATGAATGTTTGCATGCATGGATGTTTACATCGCCAGTAAAATTCAGAATTTTTTGGTGTGCAGCTGCTCAAGGATTGTAGGTATCCTATGTTTCGAGGGGTGCATCGATTTGCTTGGGACCGAAAACAGTACCAGAGCTGAGCCAAAAAGTTGAGCTCGTTTCTTCGGGACCTACTAGTCTTAGAATTACCTCTATGGTACGACTGCGCCCATTGATTTAACATACGGTGGCTCTTTATCCAGGATTCGCTCCTCAAGCCACTACCATAAAATACTATCTAAGTTACACACCTGTGTCCTTACGAGCGGGGTTGCAGCGCGCTTATGAGCGAATCCTGTGAAATAATGAGAATTTAACATAAGCGCGGCAGCAGCATGCAGAAGTAGCTTGGGTTCTCCTCCATCGAAAGAGCACCGCAGCTGACCTACGAGTGCAATTGGCGTTGACGGCGACTCTGTAGCTCTTTACACCTATGAGAAAATCCATAACCAAACGTTAAACTGTGCGTGAAACATTTCGGACTTTGTACTAACCTTTCACTCCACCGAACATTCCCATAAGAAACTGTCTATATTTGCTGGCAGAGCAAATTTTTCGACGGTGTGTGTCACGCGATCGTTTGTTTACTTGGCAGCAACCATTGTGTGGTTTTCCTCATTCTTCGTCAGCAGTTCTTTCGGTCGATGCGTCGTCGACTTTAGAAAGCAACCGTTTCGTGGTGATTGTGTGAGTGCTGATTTGACAGCGGAAAGAACACGTTTTCAAAAGGTCTGGTCTTAGGTAACAAATTTAAACAAATCGAGTTAAGCGATACAAACGATTCCTCTTCTATCATTGTATGTGATACAAAAACGTCTATCTAAATTTACTTTCATTTATTTAAGATAATCATAGGTCAAAATTTGTCCAATGTACAGTTTGAAATGATGGGTACATGATTGTTACTTCGGTCATGCGGACTGCCTAACATGATTGGTACTCATTTTACAAAGGCGGGGCCAATCTAAAGTTAGGTACTCTACTCTGAAATCTGTGAAAGGGAATCTAGTATCATGTAAATAAAACGTCCAATGTAACACTCATTGATTATGTCATTGAGAAAAATCGTCCAATGTAACATGTCCGATGTAAAACTTGACTTGTTCTATGTCTTCTAAAATGTTTTTTGAATACTTTATTTGAGTAATAACATTTTTTGGTTAAGAGGGGTATACACTCCGGTAGCACGGTTTTTGTGTTAACATGTGTATAATTGCGCTGGGATTTCAACAGGTTGGGCCCAAATTTGCTATGAAAAATAAAACAGTTAAAGTGTTCTATGATAGAGGTGACGTTTTGTACGGACTGCGTTTTTTCCCCTGATTTGTTTTCCGTACTGAGTACCAATGCTACCGATGCCACACCTGGAGCCTACACAGTTCAAAAAAGTAGTGTAAATTTCTGTTCAATGTGATGTACATAAATGGAGCGTCACAAACAATATACGTTTACATTATATATCATGTAATGTTCTGACACATTTCATGAAATTTAGCAAATATTGTATACAAAAGCCCATCTTTGTAAACAACATTGTTTGCAAGTTGCTCGTTTGCGTGAAATGAAATTCAAGTCTACGTGAATGAATGTTTACATCACAATTAAAATTCAGAATTTTTATCTGTGTACCTATCGACCCATCAACTCATGAACCGGGGACCAACGGCTTTACTTCCCTTCCGAAGGAAGACATGATCAGAGATTTTAAGCCTCAGAAAAACCCGGCGGCGCCGACTGGGATTGACCCCAGGCATTTTGGGGTGAGAGACAATCACGCTTACCACTACACCACCGGATACGCGTCTGTGATTTTTTCGAGAAGATTTCCCGCGGCGTGTATGTGCTGTTCAAGGGCGTAGCCAGGTTTCGAGCTAGGGAGGGGCGAAAAAAAACTACGGAAAATTTGGCCGAATGCCATTTTACAGAACGCCATTTCACCGAAAGCCTTTGTGTAACTGGGTTTAGGGGGGGGGGAAGTTGCGCCCTCTGGCTACGCCTATGGTGATGTTGGCAGTAGAGTTTCGTCAAGTGCATAGCATGGAACAGATTGTTCGAAACGAAAAGTTTGAATCGCGGGTAGGTAAGAGTTTTGTTCGAGGAGGAGAAATTGTTGCTTGGAATACGTGTTGGAAACGTTTCGTTGTTGTTGCCTTTCGAAGCGTATGCAAAGGTGTAATTTGCGGACGCTGAACGGAATCGAAAGACCGATTGTTTTGGACAGTAGAAGAGACGAATTGGAAAGTACACTTTGTAACTGTGAAATGCATTGTATATCGCGAAAAATTGCCGAAACTAATGTAACCATTATTGTCAAAATGTTGGCATCCAACGGCGACAGCAAAGAGCACTGACCGAGTGGTAGGCAATGAACAAGTGCACCAAAAGAATACACTCAAGTCTTTTTTTACACGGTTTTCTTTACGCGGTTTTTTTACAAGGTTTTTTTACACGGTGGTGCACCTAAGTCGTAATTTACACGATACGTTTTTAACGATTTCATTATCCGTTTCAATCCGTAGTTAATCGAATGGTATACTCCAAAAAAGTAGTCTTGTAGCACAATAATGTCATGCTTCGAAATTGCATCCAATTGTTTCTAGCATTTTCTCCAGGGAAAAAAATGTGCAAGATAAATAGAAACATCGGTCATTGACAATTGTTCACTATCTGGAAAATTGCAAACGCTCTCAGACTGGGATAAACTTACAGAATTTTTTTTTTCGAGATAATTGTTTTATGAGAATTCTAATAATTTAAATAATATTCTGAAGTGAATTACTACGTAATGCTGGAAAAATATTCGTAAGCAATGTTTAAAAGAATTTCTTAAGCTTATAGAGGAGAACTTCTGATAATTATGAGTAGAATTTCAAAGGAAGAATAATCCCAATTAAAGTTTAATGATAACTCCATGGAAATCCTAAACATAATTTCAACAAAATGCTCACAAGATCTCCCAAAGGAATTCTGACATAAATTCCCAAAAGAATTGTCACATCTGAATTCTTAGACGAATATAACTTCTATGGCAGAATTCCAAGGAAGCATAACTTGAGAAATGCAGGGGAGAATTCCTACACGGTAACCGAAAAATACCTAATAATGACTACAAAGTAAGCATTTTCGAGGGAGACTGGGACTACCCATTAAATGATTAAACATATTACCCATTTATGAGTATTTGTTACTCAAAAATTAATACTTACTACTTATTTTTGTAGTTGTAATTACTCATAAATTGGTAAAATTTTACTTATTTAAGGGGTAGTCCCAGTTTCCCTCGAAAATGCTTACTTTGTAGTCATTATTGGGTATTTTGCGGTTACCGTGTAGGGAATAGCAATATAGTAATGAAAAGATTTACAAGGTAGTTCTGACTCAGAGCATCAAAACTATGTATACTGTATTTGTTTCGACGGTAATAATGGTATCGAACATAATTATCATTGATGATTTTCGGTTGAATATCAAAAGCTTTGGTAATAAATAAATAATTAAATATTGTATTGAAAACGACGAAGTGCTTTAAAATCTACAGTAACCTTATTAACAAATGTAATCATTGCTTCAACCATTGTTTGTATTGATTCCCCCATGTTTGACCTGGCTCCCCAATAATGGTGTCAGCTTCGTCGTCTGAAGATAGGCAGGGCGAATTTCCTACTGACATGCAGGACTGCAATCTTTCCAACAGATCAGTGGCTACGGGAGCAAACTCTTCCCATAACATATCCGGTTCTTCTCCATTGAACAACTTTTCTTCATCTAAAAAGTGTAATATATTCATTACTTTTAATAAACATGTAAAACGTATCATTGAAAATCATTACCTAAACATTCCGCAAGATCGCCACATATGTAATCTACTTCGGATTCTCCCAATGCATGAATAACATTTCCACTATCAATGAGGTAGTTCCACAGAGCTTGACATGAGATTCCCGCTAGGATCCAATCATGATTTGATACTCCACGTTGCAGCAATTTCCGCAGTACCACAGGTCCCTGAATTTCCCGGAACGGAACTCTACGCTCCCAATCACCTAGAATATTTACAAGTACTCCACAGGATGTAACCATCAGCTCCACATCATTGGATTCCAAGCATTGGATCAATATTTTCAACCCATTTTCAGAACAAAATGTTTGACGTGCAATGGCGTTGCGTGTCATATTTCCGAGTACACGAGCCGCCTCAGACCTGGCGGGATTGGAATTTGTGCCCAGGATATTACACAACACGCCACAAACATCCTTCAAACGCTCTGCCATGCTTCCTGGGTGGTTGAACTGCAGTGGATTATCCGACGGTTCGTAATAATAAGAGAGATTGTGAAGTGCTCCCATGGTAGCAAACAACAATTCTTCCATATCCGGTTGCTATAAGAAAACTGCGATTAGTGTGTTTGCGAGCAGACAAGTTAAACACATGAACATACCTTCACGTCTTTAACTTTCAGCAAAATATTTAGCAGTATTTCTCCTAATGGTGGTTTGTTACTGAGCCCATATCCAACATCACCATTGACACTAATATTAGCGATAACACGGACCAATTTTGTCAGAACATCTACCACCGAATCCCCCATTTGGTTTTTGATAGTAAAACGTTTGTTTGTATAATACTCCAAAGCATTAAGGATAGCCTCCATCGATACATCGTTAGAGTAGAACTGTAACCGAGCAGTGTCCCATCTAGTCATAATATTTCCAAGAATGTATCCAAGTCGATTGGTAGCTGCCAAACCCTTTTCCACTGTAGCAGTTGTCTCACTCACAGAACCTAGCAGAATTCCAAGACGGGCAGCTGCATCTGCTAATTGCTCACAGCACTCAGGACGCTCGGAAAGCACACTCAACGTGCGAATAACGTTGGCCTGTACTTCTGGTTCATCTATACACATCTCTGCTGCTCGTACTAGTAGAGGGCCAGCCAATTCCAACTGAATTATTTCACCATCAGGTGTTTCTTTAATTTGTGGATTAGTACTGTTCAACAAGGAACGGGTTGCGGCCATGCAGTTACCTATCGCAGGAATACCCGCTAGTGTCCTGAGAGCTCCCGAAAGCTGGAATAAAGCGTGCAATGGTGGTCCCGAAAGTTTTTCCGCAGATCCCAACTCGTTCAACATTTTCAGATGCAATACCATCAGTTGTATGAGGCCATGTCTTGCCAAACGGCAGGCTAGCGACTTTTGTCGAGAAGAATTTTCCCGCGAAACATTCTCTGACTTGACCTTTTGTGCAACTGAGGCAGCTGAGCCTGCCAAAAACCGAATAGCGCCATAACCGTAGATACATGCTTCGGGCTCATCAGCCGGCGAAGCTCGACCCAAACCATCCACTAGTAGCTCTGGCAATAGAATCGGATAAGGGATGAAAAAATAAAGCAATATATCAACACAAGTGGGTGGATATGGTATAGGCCCACTTTCTCACCTGGCACATCGCTGTCGGCGAAAAGAGCATCGTTATTTTCGTTGCGAGCAATTTTAAAAACCAGTTTGCATGCTCCTGTCAAATTGCTGCCAGTCACATTCAGCTGTTGGGGTGAAAAATGGTTATTAAAATATCTTGTGTATCAATCTCAGTGTTTCAGCTGATATCTGTTGTGCGCACTAAATCAAAAATATTTTCAAACAACGCATAACCAACAACCTTTAGTACGATAACATCGTAATAACTTTTCCTTGCCTTGGCTGAAACATATCAGGATGTACATCCAAATAGAAAAACTTGAACTAAAAACTAGTTGAAACGATTAAATATTGCAGATTCAGCCGGCGAACTATTATCTATTATTGAAGGTACAATTGACTGAGTGTGTAAACAGTTAGAGCAAACTAAAGAAAGCTTAAGAGTAAAATAAATATGTATGAAACACACCATTTGCATTTCTATGAATCTGTAGCATTATTAAAATATTTAGCAAATTTTGAATTACTCAGTAATTTCTATGCAATAAAAATAATTGCCGGTAATTTATGGGTAATTTCAATAATTCCTACTGCTTGGAAAATAATTTTTCTTTCCTTTATTTAACGACGGTCTCTGTTCCGCAATCTAGTGCCAATCACCGACGAACATCGATTGCCATCCATTGATGGCAATCGAATGTGCAGGAAGGCAGCTTCCACACCTGCGTAGGATATCGCACCCATTCAACACACATGGGCCGGGACCAACGGCTTTACTTCCCTTCCGAAGGAAGACGTGACCAGAGATTTTTATGCCTCAGAAAAATCCCACCGACCTCGGCTGGGATTGAACCCAGACCCATCGGGGTGTTAGAAAGCAGTCACGCTTACCACTACACCACCGGCGCCGGCTTAAATAATTTGGTAATTTTAAAAGTTATCTTCCATTTGATTCCACTTAATTAAATAATACGTATTTCGACTACAATGTGCAGTCTTCGTCAGTGTCATTCCCACTAAAGAACTTATCAAAATGTTACCCCTTTTTTACCTACACGGTAAGAAAAAAGTACAAAAAATTAAGTTATTTTCACTCATCTCGGCAGTATAGTGCAGGAACCCAAAAGTAGGTAAAGCGGGTCAAAGTAGTTTTCATTTACTTGTGTGCAATTCGTATGGAATTTTCCACTCACTTTCTACCCAAAAGTAAGTTACTTGTACCCAAAAGTAGGTAAACATGATTATACGCAACGTTGAGTTCCCACACTTTACTACCCCTGTTGGGTGGTTTTGCTCCTCCGTTGTTGACAACATTAGAAGGAGAAAATGAGACAAACTCAGATAAAAATTCTGAATTTTAATAGTGATGTAAACATTCATTCACGTAAACTTGTATTTCATTTCACGCATTCGAGCAACTTGTAAACAATGTTGTTTACAACAATGGGCTTTTGTATACAATATTTGCTACATTACATGAAATGTCTCAGAACTTTACATGATATATAATGTAAACTTATATGATATGTGACGCTCAATTTATGTGCATCATACTGAACAGAAATTTACACTACTTTTTCGAACTGTGTAGTCAAAAGTAGGTAAAAGTTATCTGACCGTTGGGTACTTTTTTCTTACCATGTAGGAGATTAGTACTGTTGTAAGCAAACTGTGTCATAGCCCCTCTTTGCATCAGTCATTTCATTCTTGGGCTAAACACACAATTGTAAGTGCTAGTGTCTTTGTTTCGAGTATTTTTTAGATTATCGTGGTATTTAGTTCCGTTAAATTGTAAAAAAAAATAATGGCAGGTTATGTTCATGAGTGTTGTGCAGTTTTCTCCGTTTTCAAACTCCCTAGTAGGCAGAGGTAGGACAGATTACTGTAGAACGCAACAATCCACCCCACCGAAAATTGCAAAAACCCACCACCAGATGGACGAACAACTGCCTGTTGGGACCTTCTGAAAGCAAAATTGACAAATTTTATGTGTCATATACAATCTTTACCACCTCTTCTTGCATCTTACAAATAAAAATTATCATTATAGTATCCCATTGTTTCATAATAACGAAAAATAGCATTTTAGCTGTAATGAGCAATTGCAAGCCTGCTTACGTTTATAGTTGCCTATGTGCCATTCCAATGCGTATTACCTTTGTATAAGTTCCCTCACATTGCTCAATCCCAGGCAATGAGAAGGCAGACTCTCTCGTAAAGGTTAGCGCGCAGGAAGACGAATTGTATGACAGGCAAATTAAACACGATGAATTTTACTAATTAGTGCACAGCAAAAAAATAATTTTGATATCACATCAAAGTGGATGCACTACAATCATGTCGAAAATTTCATGTAATTTTTATGACCACATAAATAAACAAATGCAGTAAAAGCAGCGCAATGTCAGTTCATGCATTGTATTAATGATAATGTTGTCCTTTTTAGCAAGTAATATTACACCATATTTTCGACATGATTGTAGTGCATCCACTTTGACGTGATATCAAAATTATTTTTTTGCTGTGTGCGTCAGAGTACCCTTTCGTGTTGGAAAACCGAAATTATTCCTAATGTTTCTTCGAGAGCGTTGGTTAAAGGCTTGGGCTTAAGTATGGACTTCATTCGCATGAGTAGACTTATGTTCAGCCACTTCTCGGCAGAGGCACATCTACATAAAATAAACCTTGTGGATAGCAGCATCTGTCGATGTGGAAAAGGTAAGATGATATCGATCACGCAGTTTGTCAATTTACGGATTATGACGCCGCCAGAGAGCGACTTTTGAATACCCTCAAAACCCAAGGAAGACAACCCTATGTTCTTATCACAGATGTGTTGGCAACCCACGTTCTCTGCTATATGCAGTAGACTTATGTGTTTCTGAAAATGTCTAGTATAATAATTTAATTCCATCGTCTTTTGTTTTTTTCCTTGATTTGTTTTCCGTCGATCTTGTTTTCCGTGCTGAGCACCAATGCTACCGACGCCAGGGAGGGAGCTCCCACACCTGGACTCTACCTATCGACCCATCAACTCATGAACCGGGGACCAACGGCTTTACTTCCGTGATAGGCGTGATTAGAGATGTTATGGCTCAGAACATCCCGGCGGCGCCGACTGGGATTGAACCCAGGCCTGCTAAGGGTGAGAGGTAATCAACCGGCTACACAACCGGCGCCGCTAACTTCTTCTTCTTCTTGTATTCCTAAATTATCACTTTCTAAGAGTATTGGTAAAATTCGTTGGTACCGTGCGTCACCGTGCCAAAACAGTCAATGCATTATAAATATTAACTGGTATGTGCCGTACTCTAACGGAACTATCTACCTACCCTCTTCTAAGACCATTCTCTAGCTAATAAATTACCACACTAAAAGCTTTATGTTAGACCAACTCTCAATAATCATATTAGAGATCACCATAATTTAACATACATAAAAAATTTGGCAAAAATATTTTTAAAAAACCTCAAGGCACAATTTTCATAAAACTAACGCATTTGTGTCTTCCTAAAAACGGCTTTGCGGTCATTGTGTAGTGCTATTGAAAATAAACATCAGCTGTTGCGAAGTATATTTAATACATATTTATATAAATATATAGCTTACCGCCAATACCACACGTGCAACTGAAAGTAATATTTTTGCAGAGTTCGCCTCTACCAATCCATACAATGCTCCCAAAACTGCACCTCGCCAACTACCTTTGGCTCCTTTCACGCGAGAGAACAGCTCACCTAAAATCTAAACACAAACAACACGGAACCATAATTCGTTAAGAAAAAAATATGTCCGCCGTAGTAAACATGCTGAATACTCACCCCATTAATATGATTAGCAGTTTCATCGTTGCAATCCTTAATTCCAGCGTGGCCCTTCAGCATTTCCAGTAAGGACTCTGTCGTAGATTGCGCTAGCAAATCATTGCTTTTGCTCAGCTTCGCCTTTTGCTCTTGGGTGTCCTGTGTGCAAACGAAAAATCATCATTTTAGGCAACATATTTGAACGTCCGCTTCGTTAACCACGTTAGACCCTAACCATTTTTGCACTTTCCGAACGTCCTGGTGGAGAAGATTTTTCCGCCTCGAGCATTTTGCGCTCGTCTAGCGATTGAGCCTGACGACGCTTGAGAGGATGATTCTTGACGATACTGGTATTTGGTACTGCTGAAGAAGCTGTTGCACCATTACCAGCACAATCCAAAGGCCGTTTTTCATTCAGTGGCTTGGGTTCAGCATTGAGTGAAAATTGAGGCGTTAACGGCGATGCTGGCGGTTTAAAGTCCTTCCGCGGTGGCATACATTCTGAAACTAGGGACCGGTAAAGCAAATGAGAAAATAGCAAGCATAAACAGATAACAGTTCTACTTTGCTTAAAGTTGTTTAGTTCATTATCGGATTTTGGCAAGGACACATGAATGTGTACATATATTTTCAACCACGAACGCAAAGTAAATTTGTGGCTCAACAAATGACAAAGTTTGCAACGAGTAGAACTTGAACACGATCCGATCTGTTTGGAGTAATAATGTCGTCAAAGCACAGAACCGAACTTAGTATGGACTATTCAAGCATTTAACTGAGTTAATTTGTGTCTTAACAGGCTATTATAGTCACACATGCTTAGCTTTATACAGAAATCTATATCACACTAGGGTTTCCGTAAAGTGTGTTTGATTTACACTATTTTACATCTTGAATCAAGTGACTTGTCGATTGAGATGGATGAAAAAGTCGACTAGTTTCCCTCCGCTACAGCCATGTACCTAATTTTTGTACACGTAAAAAGTTACATATTTTTAACTCGAAAAAAAAGTCTTTTCAAGTGGGCTTTTACTCATTGTTAAAACAACTGATTTACAATATGCATTAAGTCAAGACATCATTCTATTTAATGGTTCATTTTTGACATAGCTTGTTCTTTGGTTGTTAACATAAAATAAGTTTCTATTCCTTAGTGAGCGAGTAGGAGCATAATTAATATTTCTAACTAAAAAAATTCAATGGTACAGTTCAAACGGTTTTTGAAAAAATGTGTTCGTCGTTCGTCCCATTTCACCTTATTATGGCCGCAATCGAATTGATCATGATCTTTATCGAATCCCAGATTCTAGACAATTCCTTGGGGTATTATGTCCGCAACACAAGAAAAAAAAAGTTTCACAAAGGATTAGTCTAAAGTATAATTCGGCCCTTTTCCTAATGGGTTTCCGGACTATGTCCGGGAGTGCATAACATACGATGTAATACCTTTCAACCTTTTGTCAAGTACTTTTAGAGCAGCAATTTGTATGGAAATTTCACTAAATGATAGCTGTGTACTTAGCAGTACTGGATGAAAAATCATTAAATGTTGTTTTTAAAGTTAAACTATTTAAGCACCCTACTTCAATCATTTCCTCTTAAAGTATGTAAAATCTAATCAATATCACATAATTTTTTAAATTAAATACTAATAAACTAAAATCGACTTAACCCTTTGCGCTTGATTTTTTTTTTTTATCTTTTTTCTACACCAGGTTATTCAAATTAGAGCTGGGTAATCGGGTACATCGTCACACGCATAACGGTTGAATGGAGTTTTCAATTCCACTGATGATAATAACTAAATAAATGATTAAAACTTTACTACATCAGCTAACTCGAGATTTCCGGAAAAATACGGGAGATGGAGTCACACACTGCACACACATAATGTATATATAGATTTCAAATCAAATCGATCGAGATCAGCTTTGGCTAATTATGCATGAATAAGGATTTCCGGATGAACTGAGGCTGACCAATCGCGATGAACTGAGGCTCGAATGATGTACGTTAGCCGAGTTTCGGGAAAACTCTCGACCCCTTCGAATCTCGAAGAGAGTTACTGCATGGTGATGGGCTGGGTGTCTAAAGTACAACAGAACGACGCTCCGGTCGAATAAAGTTCATCGCACAACGAAGTTGACTACAGGTGGGATTCCTTATTCTAGACGCATTCATGCTATTATTAAAGTCAAGAGCCTTTGTATTGCTTCTGTGTATATTCCTCATACAAAATATTATTATAACATCTAATGATTTCAAAATTCCGGAAATCATTTTTTAAAGCATGCCTGGTTTCGGTTAATCGAAAACAACTTCCAGATATCTGGTCAGTTCTTCCTACTCCACAGTTGATTATGGGGAATTTTAATTCCCACCGTACAGGCTGGGGGAACTGTATGGTGACATCCGTTCTACTTTGATATATGACCTCTGCGACAGCTTCAATATGACAATTCTTAACAATGGAGAAGTAACACGTTTGGCTGGGTCTATCAACGAATGGAAGTAGATTAGACCTCACACTTTGCTCTAATTCATTTTCGTTGGATTGCAGTAGTGATCATTTGCCGATCAAAGTTTCAGTTGCCAGTGGGATTAATCCGTCGGAACCCGTTAACGTCACGAATCCCAACAAACAATGTGTGATGATTAAATGAATAAGCTCTTATTTTTCTTTTAATATTTGTTGGGATGATCTTACCCGTAATATCGGTTGCACCAAGTTTAAGACTAAGCGGCGCCGGTGGTGTAGTGGTAAGCGTGATTACCTCTCACCCCAGCAGGCCTGGGTTCCATCCCAGTCGGCACTGCCGGGATGTACTGAGGCATAACATCTCTGATCACGCCTTCCTTCGGAAGGGAAGTAAAGCCGTTGGTCCCCGGTTCATGAGTTTGATGGGTCGCTAGGTAGGGTCCAGGTGTGCCAGCTGCCTTCCTGGCGTCGGTAACATTGGTGCTCAGCACGGAAAACAAGATCGACGGAAAACAAATCCAAGGAAAAATAAAGTTCAAGACTATGATGCCCTAACATCAGTAGAAGGGCTTCCACCGTTGGAGGAATATAACTTCCTCTCCAACCTAATCTTGGACAGCGCGCTTCAAGCTCAAACTCGGTCGGTTCCAGGAGCGTCTTTCCGAGGGAAGCCTCCTTGCCCTTGGTGGGACCAGCAATGCACTGAGGTTTATCGTAAAAAGTCCGACGCGTTTAATTTTTTCCGGAAACGTGAAACACCCGTGTATTTCGAAGCGTACTCGGCTCTTTAACGCAAACTCAAGAGCCTCATCAAAGTCAAGAAACGCGAATATTGGTGGCAATTCGAGGACGGATTATCGCGCGAGACGTCGATGAATACGCTCTGGAATGCTGTGCGAAGGATGCATAACCGGTCTTCAAACGCGTTGAACGAGAGTGAGGAGTACTCGGATTGTTGGATTCTCACGTTCGCGCGAAAAGTGTGTTTTGATTCCGTGCCGGCACGGATGATTCCTCGCAAAACCTTGCAATCGATTGACGAGATCAACCAGCCTTTTTCAATGTTAGAGCTCTCACTCGCGCTCTTTTTGTGTGGCAATTCGGCTCCGGGGGTTGATAGGATAGGATAGGTTGATCAAATTCAACTTGTTGAATAACCTCCCAAACGTCGCTAAGAGGCACCTGTTGAACTTGGTCGGTCAGTTCCTGGAGCCTCGCCTGGAGCATAATATTGTTCCGGATGATTGGAGGCGGGTGAAAGTTATAGCCATTAAAAACCTGGTAAACCCGCGTCAGATTACAAGTCGTACCGACCCATCGCGATGTTGCCGTGCACTCGGTTGGAGGTAATGATCCTTTTTCGATTGAACAACTGGGTTGAGAGTGTTGAGACGAACCACCTACTCTCAGAAACTCACTTTGGTTTCCGTAGGGGTAAGGAAACGAATGATGTATCGCGTTGCAGAAATTCAGTTGGCTTTTTTCTAAAAAAGAGCAAATGGTTTCTGTGTTCTTGGATATAAAGGGGGCTTTTGATTCGGTTTCTATTTATTGAAGTCCTTTCAGGCAAACTCCACGCTTGTGATCTTTCTCCATTGATTAATCACTTTGTGTACAATTTGTTGTCAGAGAAACATATGAGCTTTTTTCGATTTAGCTACATTATTCTCCTCCAGGGCTCATGTTTAAGTCCCCTTTTATATAATTTATACATCAGAGAAATTGATAATTGTCACTAAAACTGCACGTAGTATCTGTCACAGAGCCCAATGGGGTCGACCTGCAAGAACCCTTACAGAATACCTTAGAAAACTTGTCTTCGTGGGCTGTTCAGCTGGATATCAAATTCTCCTCGGAGAAAACTGAGTTGGTCGTTTTTTCTAGGAAACATAGTTAAGCACAACCGAAGCTTAAAACTTTTGGGTAGACAGGTCACTCATTCTATGTCAGGTTCGATTTTAAATGTACCTGGAGATCCCACATTGAGTTTTTAAAGCAGAAATGTCAACAAAGGATCAATTTTCTCCGAACAATTACCGGAACGTGGTGGAGAGCCATCCGCAAGATTTTCTAACGTTGTAGCGGACAACGATTTTATCGGTTTTAGAGTACGGTAGTTTTTGTTTCCATTCGGCGGCTAAAACGCACAAATCATACGAGGTGTCCCTTAGGTGTCGAAGTGTCCTTGGTTCAAAAGGTTGGAGGTGGATCGAGACTTCATTCGTGTGATGTCTCGCCTCTTGTCCAATAACTACTCGTTAAGCGCTCACTTGTTCCTTGGGCTGGGAGACAGCAATCTCTGTGAATGTGGACAAGGTTACCTCCCTTGCTTCTTCCAATTGTTTTTCCTTCAGCTGCGCTCCCCGATTTACCTCCTCTTCTTCCTTTATGCGCTTCCTCTCAGTATAGTCCACTATCCCGAATTTGGAGTAGCGACATTAACTTCATTGAAGTTTCCCAAACTTGTACATTTTCCCCACTTTTACAAAGTTTAACAAAAAAAAATCTTAACTCTCCGAATTTATTTTAGATTCTAAGCATTTCTACGATTTCACTTGTACATATTGAAAGCCACTAAAGTTTAAAGAAACTCAATGAAGGTAAAGAGAAATGTCAAAACTTTAATGACCTTCCCCAAATGTCAATAAAGTTTGATGAAGTTCTACTAAATAATGTGCATTTCTACACTGAAGTTGTACGATGCTCACTGATTTTTTATGAAGTTCACTGAGCTTGTACAATAATATATGAACTCCTATAAAATTTGTTGCACTTCTTGAAAATTCCACGCAGTTCCTGAAGTTTTAAAAAGTTTACTAAGGAGCTATGAAATATCTGATCTTGTTTTCTTGAAGTTATATAACATTCCATAATCATTGAAGAAGTTTCCCAACAATCTATGAAGTTCCCTGAAATCATTTTCTTGTCATAGCTTCTACGAATTTTCAATGATTTTTAATAAGGTCGCTGAAGTTCTGTAAAAACTCGGTTTAAAAAATATGGAAGAGTATACATCTTCCGCCACCCGTAATTTTTAAACGTAGAAGTGAAGAAATTTTGTCGATCCCCCCATACCATCGATGGTTTATGGTTTATGTCCATGGCCGATGCTAATAGTGACGCTTTCCGTTCCAACTTACCCCGCATTTCAACTTGCCCCGTTGTACATTATAAGGGACTATTAGAAACCCATACTTCCATTTGATGTATTTGCGTTCGGTTTGCGTGTTCTCTTAGTAATTTCGTATCTGTTCAAACTTTGAACCACTTTTAAATAAATACCAGTTACTCATAGGTTAATCCAGGGGCCTCATAAGCCTAGTCAGTAAAGGCACGAAAATACCAAGCCGGAGGCGGCGGGTTAGATTCCCAGTCCGGTCGAGGGAATCTTTCGGGTTGGAAATTTTTCCGACTTCCCTGGGTATAGAGTATCATTGTACACAATATTCATGCATTGGTATTGACATCGAAAGCTCTCAATTAATAACTGTGGAAGTGCATTTAGAACACTAAGTTGAGAGCACGCAATAAGCTAATATGCGCTAAGCAATAAGCTTGAAATGCGAACAAGAAGAAGAAGTCATAGGTCATTCCTCTTGTTAGGTACGTTTTCTTTTGAAACACGCATTTATGACCTGCTCTCTATTCATAATTATTTTCTTGCGTGCGGTCGTGGCATCAGTAAGCAAAAATAAATACTTATTTCCAATCGATAACAATTTCATTAGTACGAGGCAGACGCTGGCTAGCGCAGTACAATTACCTCTTGTTTGCATGTAGTATGCAGTAAACTTGACAAAAGACGCAACCAGATGGCTATGGAACGTTAAATTAGAACAGATCGATACCCACTCATGAATATGCGATGTTGGATCGCAGAATGTTCAAGTCAAAAATATGAAGAGATACTTACGATTATCCAGCGATCCAGACTGTTTACTGGGTACCTTAAGCAATGCTGGTAGTTTACTGCGAGGTGCATTATTGTTAGCGGTGTCATTTTCACCCAACGTGATAGAATCTGCCGATTCTGAACGCGTAAATCCATTTGATTGAATCGCACTTTGAATTGGCTCAAGCGACGGCAATGCGCGGGATTCTAACTGCAGGTATTTTAAGCTGAAAGCACTTGGCGGCCTTCCTGGTGGAGCTACTCGCCCATAAAGCTGTCTCCTGGGCTCTCTAGGTGTAATTGGCCGCCTAGCGGAAACCAGCCGTGTTCCTCCTATCGATATTGAAATGTTCATTGTTAAAACTTCCTCTTGTTAAGGTTTTCAATTTTTTTACCTCCTGCTAGCATACTCTTAGCTTCACTTACAATCTCTGCACTAGTTTTACGCACTAATTTCCGTCTTCCATCACCTGATGCGGCACCACCGTTGAAAAATATTAACGGAGGATCACTGTTTCTTTTGGAATTTTGCATATCACCCTTTGCTTGGCCTAATCATTTAACCTTGAGATATCCTCAAATTCAAAATTACAACGAAACTGATTCTGACTGACCACTTCGACGAAACTGACTCAACTACTGTTAAGAACTACTTCACGTATGGTCATCCATACAAAGCTCTAGCTTCTACGCTGCATGTAAATGCGCGCTTTCCACTAGAGTTACCACACCAGTTTTCGGTTAAAAGACCTAATTTTATATTCGGAGAAAATCATTTTAAGTCAAACTTTTGCACAGTTTGTCATGAAACAAGCAAATTAAACTTAAGCACGTAGGGGAAATGGATGTAATGTCGGCTTAAATGCCCCTAATTTGGGCCTATGCATAAATTCAGCAATCGACTAAATTTTCAATAACGACCAAAAATATCCATTAGTTCCGTCCCAATGACGCATATATCTAGATTTTTTTTTTCTTCATTAAAGAGACTTTCAGTCTTGGGCTGGTTCGTCTCTGGCGTTCATCTAGATAAAATTGATAAATAACAGATTTTTAACGATGGGCCCAATTTTAGATCCATAGGCAAACATTAGAGCCATTTCCCCTACATCCTAAATTTTCACTGCATTGAAAAGTGTTGAATCATATCAAGTTTCGAAATTTTGGAATATAATAAACACTTAATAGCCCATCAAAAGAACGACTGCTTTAATAACTGATACCGTCACCCTATCAAGGGAATGAGCAATCGATTGTACTGCCGATCAAAATATCCTGCGCTGTTATTTGTTTGGTTGCTACGGAAATTGTGACCACCAACAGAATGAGGGTTACGGTCGTAGAATAACCGAAAGGACGAAGTTCGTTTCGAAAACAAACAACATTGTTATCCACCTCAAAACGTGCTTCATGAATAATATGTATGTAGCATACTTAGCATGGTTATGCGAACAAAGTGATACGATTGTAAGCAGAGTTGTTAATGACGTTCACGCCGTTAACGTCAGCGTTAACGTCTGCAAATTCCAATTGTCCTATAAGTTGTTAGACAATTACAACATCATCGGAACATTTCCATTGAATGAGGATTCTTGTGCGACTGGATTGATTGATTTGGAAAGGTCCCAGTACTCTTCGAATGATGCGAAACATCACAATTGAATAAGGGCCCATTAAAGTATTACGTAACGTAAGATGGGTGGGATGTACTATAGTAATTAATTAACTGCCGTGACGAGGGGATGAGGAGTATTCAAAAATCCACTTTGTTGCGTTTTATAATATTTGAACGGCCCAAACAATATATCAGTTTGTGACTTTTTAGGGAAGATCCAGAGATTTCAGTATTCAAGCTGTGAGTGATTAGTTTGAACTTATTTGTTTTGATCGATTTGTATGACCACTGACCTCTGACTCTGATCATTTGAGCGATCAAGTTTTTTACATGTGTATGGACAAGGGTATTCGCTATTACTCTCTCTCTCTCTCTCTCTCTCTCATCTCTGTTATCTGTTATCTGCATGAGTGTATCTTTAGTCGTAGCTTTATGGAAGTTTTGATAATCTTAGACTTAAGGCCGTTCGCAATGCTGTTGAATTTTATAAGGACTGTTTCAATTTGAAACTAGAACAGAAACGCACCCCTGGCAATGTTGTGTTGCAGTTTCATTATTCGAGCACTATTTTGCTCAAGATTAGCAACTGCTTCACTATTATGTTTTATTTTTGAACGGGTTGGACAAACACAAATGGAAATCAGTTTCAAATTTCTTTGGATGTATTTATAGATGTTCCTCGTAAATGTCAAGAGAACTTCATAGTAGTTGAGAGGATTTAATAGAAGTTTGTGAATTTTACAAAAGTTTGGGGAACTTCTGAGAATAAATAAAAATTCATAAAAATAAGAGAGTTTCATAGAGAACAGTAATCTTTTTGAAACTTGCATTTTTAAACAGTTTCAAGGAGTATAATTGGAGTTCACGTAATGTCATAGAAGTGAGTTTTATTTCATAAAAGACCGGGAAACATCATAGAAGTTCTGGAAATTTATAGTAGATTTTAAAACTTCATGTTAATGCATGGATCTTCTCAGAATTTCTCTCATCTTCAGAGGTTTTAAGATCTCCATGAAGTCCTCTTGATATTTTTTCAAGATTTCAGTTTGATCAGGTACTATTTTAAAGACTATACAACAATTCAAATCACTTTTATTAGATGTTCTCTCATGATACCAGGCAGCTCAGAAATTATTCCAAAAACCATCAGCTGATCAGAGATCCCCATGATAACCTCAGGTTATTTCAAGACTTCAGGTTGATCAGGTACCATTCTGAAAATATTCAACTATCCAACTATCCAAATCATATCTCTCAGATATTCTCTCATATAAAAGGCAGCTAAAAGGCAGCTAAAAAATTATTCCAAAGACCTTCATTTGTTTTAGGATTTCCACAAAGTCTTCTGGATACTTTGTCAAGACTTCTGGATGATCAGGTACTATTCTGGAGATCTCAAACTGTCCAACAATTCAAATCACATCTTCCACATGTTCTCTCATGATACCAGGTGACTCAGGAAAACAAAGACCTTCAGGTGAGCAGAGATCTCCAAAAGCTTTCCATGATATTTTTCAAGTCTTCAGGATATTATTCTGAAGATCTTCAACTATCCAACAATTTAAAAAAAAACGTCTCTTAGATATTCACCTCCGATACCAAATTGCTTGGAAATTGTTTCAAAGACCTTCTCCATAAATAATCAACCATCCAAATCTTGAGATTATTTTTCATACGATATCAAGCGACTCAGACATTATTTCATAACTTTTCGGCAGAGATAGTATTCAAGATATTTTTTTCAAATGTTCAGCTTGTTCAGGTACTATTTTGAAGACATCTGGGTGATCAGGTACTATTTTGAAGATCCCAAGATGTCCAACAATTCAAATAAAGTCTGTATGATAAAAGAAATCAGATGACTCCTAATTTTTTTTTTTTTTCCAAAAATTTCTCTGGATTTTTTTCAAAACTCAGGTTGATCAATTATACTGTCCACTAATTCAAACCACGGCTCTTAGTACTCTTTTATGATACCAAGTTGCTTAAAAATTATTTCACAGGTCATCAGGTGATCAGAGATCTTGAATTAATGCTCAGGTTATTTTTCCAAGCCTTCAGGTTAAATAGGTACCATTCTGATGCCATCCAACACTTAAAATTGCGTCTCTCAGATATTCCCTTACGATACTACGTGACTCATAAATTCATATTTTTCATATTTTTTCAAGACATGAGGCTGATCAGGTAACATTCTGAATATCTCAAACAGTCCAATAATTCAAAACACGTCTCTTAGATAGGTATATCGCATGAAACCAGGTGTCTTATAAAATATGAATATGATCTCCAAAGCCTTCTCTCAGCCGTTGTCTTATACATGGTGATGCCCCGTAACGTGGGTAGATCACCTTTTCGTGGTACGTTACGGGATGTGAGATCTACCACCGATTCCTAGTCCCGACTACTTCAAACTAGGGGAGCAGGATTTTTCAGTAATCAAAGGAACACATCTTAGTCCTTGTTACTTTTTATGCCTTGTTGATAGTGACAAGACTCGGCTTTGTCCACCGAGGATGATCTTGAAACAAGGAAAAAATGAGTTAGTTAGTCTTCATCTATGTGATTCCTAATCTTCTATTCGTTGTTCCCTAGTTTGAAGTGGTTAAGACTAGGGTTCTGATGCATGGTCATTATCGGTGTCATTATTTAATTTTATTGCTAAGGAAACCGATTTTAACTGACAAAGGAGCGCGCCTTTCGAGGGTGTTCCAACACTCCGAAGGGTATAAATAGCGGGACCTTTCAATTTGAATCGGATCCTTGCGATAAATGCGAGAATGACAACTGTAAAAAAATCGAATACTTCATCATTTCTCAATGCCGGCACCGGTGGTGTAGTGGTAAGCGTGACTGCTTTCTAACACCCCAATGGGTCTGGGTTCAATCCCAGCCGAGGTTGATGGGATTTTTCTGAGGCATAAAAATCTCTGGTCACGTGTTCCTTCGGAAGGGAAGTAAAGCCGTTGGTCCCGGCCCATGTGTGTTGAATGGGTGCGATATCCTACGCAGGTGTGGAAGCTGCCTTCCTGTACATTCGATTGCCGTCAATGGATGGCAATCGATGTCCGTCGGTGATTGGCACTAGATTGCGGAACAGAGACCGACGTTAAATAAAGGAAGGATCATTCCTCAATAGTGATGGAGTAATACGACATGCACTAAACTAAGGACACGGGATATACTACAATAGATCAAATTACTGGTAAAACTCAATAAATAGCAGGCAACATTAGTGTACTTGGCGCGAAGAATAGGGCAAAAATTCCAGGCAACTATGTCATCAGTGCAAGATGCTATGTTGCCCTGAAAACAGTCGATAAATCATAACAGAAAGTTATCGGCTTCGAAATCAATTAATAACTTATTAGAGAAAACTACCTTGAAGTCTAATCAAGAAGTGGTCTATCGCAAAGTTGCAGCTGATGGAATTTCACATAACAGCAGATAAAAAAGCTTTTTCGTAAATCATTATGGCGCAGTACTAGGACGTTAAGGCCACTCTCTGATCGGTTTTCGGAATTATCCCTCAGGCTCCTCACCCGTTGTGAAATTATGAACCCACTGGTGATTGCAAACTTTGAGAAGCTTCTTGAGCTAAACCCTCAAGCTCGTTTTATGACATTGTACTACGTGTACATAACACAGGATGTCAGCCCTTCATAGCATAATCCTCATCGTGTATGCTTCTCCGACTTCGGAAATTCAGTCAGTTTTGATTTATCTATGTCGCAAGAGATTCGCGGAATCCCAGAACATCATCGTTCCATGATTGTTCCGTCATTATACACTGCAAAGTTTGGCCAAGTTGATTCCGCAAGATCGTTCTTCACAGATGGATCACTAATAGAGGCGTCCGCTGGTTTTGGTATTTTTAACGAATTTCATAGCGCCTCTCGAATGCTTCAAGCTCCTTGTTCCGTATATGGTACTGAGCTGGCGGGAATATATTATAAGCTAGAAACTATCACCTCACTTGCACCAGACCATTATTTTATTTTTACGGATAGTCTCAGTTCTGTCGAGCTTTTAAGTGCTTTATCTTTAAGATCTT